CAAAAAACAAATGCAAACCTCAAAGAGGGAAATGGTCATTTTGCCACATCTTGTCACATGTTATTGGGAATGTATTGAGTATCTGACTCCAGATGGTCAATTTCTCTAGGAAGCTGGGAATAAGAACTGTTTTTGGTTTTGTATTGTTTCACCATAAAAATCCTGATTTCGTAAGGTATGGGAAATCTTGTGGCCTGCTTTGCCTTTTGCTGTGAACTTTGTCCCAGTGTACTAGTACTTTTATTTTAAAAAAGGTTATTTCCTACTTGAACTTGATTCTCTTCTATTAGCGAAAAAGTTCTCTGTGTCTGAGAAATTTCTTTTTTTGCTTTTTATTATCTTGGGAGGAAATATTAATAGACATTTTATTGTAACAACAGGGGGACATTATACTAATAATTTACTCTTTACAATTTATTTTTTTTTTTAGTTTTTATCTAAGTTTTTCAAATTATGAGAGTCAGACTTTCTGAATCTCAGGCTTTTGATTTTTTAAGTCCTTTAAAAATCTTTCCTAATATCTTTTGGAACAGTTCTGTCTCTGCATCCCTATACTTGATAATTGTCTAATTGTCAAATAAATATTATTTTGACTTAGGCCTGTAACATTCATCAACATTTCTCTATTTCTTGCTTTGAATAAAAAATTCTTTACTTTAGTGCAATGTAGGAACAAATAATTGTGTTTTGGGATAAGCACTGAGGAGTTTAGGAGATAATTATAACTTGATTAAATCATTCTTTCCCAGAAATGCATTTAGGCAGAAATTATTAGAATTACTTTGCTTTTGCTGAACTTCCTTGAATCCTAGGGCACCTCCCCGCCCCCGCTCCAGATTTCTGGGCCTGTTTCTTCAATGATTTGCTTTCCTGCTAACCTTTAACAAATGTGTTGTTAGGATTTAAGCTTGCCATGTACATAATAGTGAAACTAAATTGTTAAAGCCAACATTTATTTAAATTGGTGAGATATCACACATTCAATTTAACTTTCTGAGAAAAGTTAATGACTGGTGAAAAAGGAAGATTCAAACTCTGCATGTAATTCTTTAAATGTTTTGAGAATATTACAGAATGGCTTGAGTTACTTGTTAAATGTTGTATTTTTCCTGGATTTCCAGTTATTTTTGAACCATATATATAACCTGATGATTTTCCAAATTTTCATTAAGAAATAGGGTCATCAGCATGCTAATTGCCTTGTGAAATTTACACTAGATATTTTAAAGATCAGTAGACTACTTCAACAACCCAGCTTGTTCCTGAGAAAATGAAACTTTGACTTACAGTATGGGCTATAATCTGATTTTTAGTTTGTCTGACTCAGGCCTTTAGCACAACTGGAAGCTTACTCTTCAATTTTCTGGAAAAATAGTAGAAAATGAAAATAAACTTTGGGGGTCATACAATGGCATAAATGTTCAGCTGGGAATGTGGTATTTTCCCCTTAGAAATGCCTTAGAGTCCGGTAAAGCCTCTTCTTACCTCCCCCATACCTGAAGAAGACCTGGACATTTAAAGAATTCTTATTACCAAGGTGTCACTAACAGAGATAAGTCTATTCACCTTTGGGCCAAATCTCCTTCCCACTTGTGATTTGGAGATAACCTAGACCTGAGCCAAGATCAGCTTCTTGTAAAGATAACTTTGCTGGGTAATATGAACCTTGAGGCTTTCTTCTTCAGTGGCTGTTCCTTGGCTATTTAGAGATGACAGGCTCAATTAATTATTAACAGCAGTTCCAGCTCTGCCTGTTATTTTATCTCCACTGCTTTTCTGCTGAGGGCCAGCCAGGGCATGAGCCAGGGGAAATCGATCTAAGTTACCATCACCCTGTCTGGGATGTAATAGGATTTTCTTTTTCCCTCCCTCCTTACCTTCCATCTAGCTCACCCTCAATATTTCATGGGATTGAGACAATCTTTGGTAAAATAAAGCAAGGAGACTTAATTATCATAATAACACCTCCAAATTGCGCAGATGATACTTTGTCTGGGAGATAGTCCACCCTTAAGAGACAAAAAGTTTTAAAGTTTTCTCACAGAAATCCACAGTAAGTACATGCCAACCTTCAGCCTCTCCATGGTCTTAGAAACAAAGGGCAGAACTTCAAGCCTGGAATGGGGAGATTAGTTAGTGTCAGAGAAAGGAGATCATAGGATTTGAGAAGGTGAAAATGAGGGACCAGAGAGAATGGGTTGCTGAAGTGGATTGGGTAGGGGCTGAAGCAGACTCCATGGAAAAGCTTCTATGGGAACCGAGGAAAAGCGCTTTGAGTCACTTTCTGGGGTTGGTGTGTATTAATGATCAGGAGCTGTACCTTGGTTCTTTTTCTGATCATGGACAACACCTGTACATATTTATCGACATTTCACGTGAAATTCTGATATTATAAACAAATATGAGAAGATTCAATTTGGCATGAAAACAGGACCTACTGGGCAAATTAATGATTTAAAAAGATTTTTAAAAATGTTATTTATTTACTTTTAGAGAGAGGGAGAGATACATTGATATATGAGAGATACTTGATTGGCTGCCTCTTATACACCCCAACTGAGGACCTGGCCCAAAACCCAGGCATGCACCATCACTGGGAATCAAACTGGCAACCTTTGAGTTTGCAGGCTGGCGCTCAATCCACTGAGCCACACCATCCATGGCTGAACTAATGATTTTTAAAGTGAACCTCTAGAGTCAATATTGAAGACCTAATTTTGAGTCCAAAACTCAGTTACTACCTTTAAAAAAAAAAAAGGCCAGGTTTAGAAACTTTGTTCTGTAGATGGTTCGGATCCATAATCAGATTATAAATTAGTTACATACTGTGGAACACTCCTTATCCTGGTTTGCAAGGAGTGGTTCTCCTTCTGGGGATAACCTTCTTTAAAATTATTTTTTTGGGGGGGGGCGGCAGTCTTTTAATCTGGGAACAAATGTGACAGCTCTGATTGAAGCCGGCCCTAACCCAATGTGTTTTAAAATGCAATTCTTAGAATGTGTTCATCAGGAATGCCACAGGTGTTTGTTAAAATGTGTGGTCCTGGGCTGCATACCCGAGCCCGGGAATATGCATGCTTAGTGAGCGCCCATGCTTAGCAGATTTGAGAACCTCTATTAAAGCCGTGCTCATCAGGTTTACCCCTGTTCTCCTCGAGGTTCTCTCCTCCATTTCCCATCTCCCATTACAATCACCCTTACATTTAAGGAGACTCTTGTGTTTTTATGAATTACTGAATGATAAAAGTTGTGATGCGCATGTTTGCTGTGATATCTCTGACATCTATTATTGTGCCTGGTAGAAGTTTTAATGAGTGTTTGTTGAACAGATTGGATAAAATCAAGAAGTAGCAATCCAGTCAGATTTATGGGAGAGCAAGAGCTGTTAGTCTGAGTCATGGTGCATTAGGGCAGTAAAAATTAGGTACCAAAGTCTCCCTTAAAGTTAGTGCCTAGCTATTCCCTTTGGGTGGAAAATAGTTCATTTCAAGGGGATTCATGGGGATGAAACATAACGTGATTCATTCTATTTCATTGATTACAGGGTAGCTCTCCTATATCCAACATTTATTTTTCCTGATATTTTGTGCTGTTTAGAACTTCTTGGTATAATCAAAACAGACCAGTATATTTTGCTTTGGTCTTAGTTTTGCTTCTAAGAGGGGGGAAAAAAAAGCAGCGTGGGGGTGTGTGTGTGTGTGTGTGTGTGTGTGTGTGCGCGTGTGCGCGCGTGTGTGTGTGTATTTTCCCAAGGAGATGCTGTCCCAGGACACTTTCCCCAAAGGACTGCATCTCTGATTTGTCTATTCTTTATTTTTTCCTGATCGCTTTGGTTTTATTTCATTTCTATTCTTGCTAAATGTTAATAAGATACATGACATAAACAAATGCATTCTAGAGGACAAGAAAAAAGACAGACCTCATGGCTATTCACTCTGCAGGCTCTTCGGTACCCTCACTCTCCCTAGTTTGAAGCTTGCCCTCCGTGACAGTTTTCTGTTCACAACTGAGCTGTGTACTAAAATAGAACCAGTGCTATCCATCCCTTGCAGTGTGACAATCCTCTGGTAAGGGAATGGTGCTAAGTTCTTTGACTATATAGTATTGTGGTTTCTCCTCTCCCATTGTTTCCAGGAACTCCTGGAAACATAGTCTTCTACAGCTGTGTGGATTACATGACTACTGATGCCTAAAGGGGAAGCATGCAGTGTTTGCATCTGAATACTTTTTTGTTTCCTTTCAATATGAACATTAGAAGATATATTCAAACCCATGAATTGAACTTGATAGATATGCCTTTATTGCCATTTTATTGTTCATGGTTTTGATTCTTTTTCTTAAATAAGTCCCTTTAACATTTCATATAATAATGGTTTGGTGATGATGAACTCCTCTGATTTTTTTCTTGCCTGGGAAGCTCTTTATCTGCCCTTCGGTTCTAAATAATAGCTTTGTTGGGTAGAGCAATCTTGGCTATAGGTTCCTGCTTCTCATGACTTTGAATATTTCTTGCCAATCCCTTCTAGCCTGCAAATAAATGGCAACAAATATATATCTATCAACTATTGAATCTGAACAAACTAAGCAAACAAGAAGAACAGAAACAGAATCATGGATATGGAGAGAGTTTTGATGGTTGCCAGATGGGAAGGAGTGTGGTGGAATGGGTGAAGAAATGAGGGGATTAAGAAGTACAAATAAGTAGTTACAGAACAGTAAAGCACAGTGTAGGAAATGGAGTAGCCAAAGAACCCATACGCATGACCCATGGGCATGAACAGTGGTGTGAGGATTGCCTGAGGGAGTGGGGGGTGCTGGGTAGAGGGGGGCACAGGGGGAAAATTGGGACAACTCTAATAACTTTATCAGTAAAATATAATTAAAAAATAAAAATAAATTTAAAAAAGAATTTGCACTTGAGATTATCAGTGAGAAGACTACATGGGTTTTTGGACTTTGATAAAAATAAACTTTTATTGTTTTTTAAAAACTGGGAATTTTTACATATCCTCATCAGAGACCACAGGAGTAATGCTATTATTAAAGAAGATTGGGGCTTCTTGTAAACATTTGGGGAAGTCTTTGACCTCTTGGAAAAGACGGGAACACCGCTGGGCTTCCAGCTGCTGAATCTTTCTTTCCTTTTCCTCTAAAACTTCTTCCAGCTCAGTTATCTTCCCAGTCTGAAGAGTCACCTGGGTAGACAACTCCATAATCAGGCTCATTTTTTGATCACATTCTTCCACAGGGGGGACACCGCCACAGGACTCTTCCGGTGAGTTGTCTTCTAAAGAAAACAGGAAAAGGAAAGTCTGAGCAGTTTTAATTGAATTTCCCAGAACTAAAAAAGAGGGAAGATGAAAAGCTTCATTTCTCACGTTCTTAAAAGACAACACAGATGTTGCATCATCTGGTCAGATACACTGAGAATAGAATCTGGATCCAGTGAGAGGAAAGTTTCTGGGTGCTTATGAAAAAATAACTTGGAAGGCTCTGGAGAGGGAGGAGAATTAGTTTTTGCAACTCTTTTTGGTACACATTTAACTTTAATTAACCATGGGAATAGGCTGTCCTGGAAAATCCAATCTAAAAACAAAAGCCATCCGAAGTTGCACGTTATCCCTTTCCCTAAGAACTTTTCACCAGAGCTACAATGAAGTAGAAATATGCTACAGTTTGAATTTTAATTCAACTGGGGGAAAAAAGGTCATTGCCCCTTCTGGGAGAAGTGATCATGAGAAAAGGTTTCTTTAAAAGTTGGCAGAGTATAATCTGAGGTGATCTAGAAAAACTCTATTAGCATTGCCACGGGGCACAGCCAGGGCGCCCCCTCACCGCCCCCCCTCGCCGCCCACCGCCCCGCAAAGGGTATTTTGTAATGGGGTCCAGAGACTGGGGTGTCCAAGAAAAAGATATTCTCCCCACCCCAGGGCGGGCCGCCATGGGGGATGGGAGCCTTGAGCAGGGCCATTGAGAAGTCAGTTTGCATGTCAATAACAGGATAGCTTTGTTCCTCGTTTGCAAAGAGGATTATTTGGCATATCACCAAAACTAATCAGGAAGGTTTAAAAGACTTAGTACAGAATCTAACTGAAAGAGAGAGAGGAGAGATAGGGGCCTGCAGGAGAGAGAAAGGGACACAGACTCTGGGGAACAGTGTGAAGACCACGCGGGAAGAAAGAGGGGAGAAAGGACTCTTGCTAGTGGGCCAGGAGAAGGTGCCACATGGTTATGGATTAAGAGCTGGAGATCGCGGCGAGGCAGCGGATGGTGCTGAGACCCGCGAGAAGCCTGCCTAGCCGAGCCCTGGACTTCTGTTTTTTTTTCTTTTGAAGGATGGTACCCCTAACTGGTCTGACTGGCCTAACTGGGCAAAGGGGGTAAGGCAGGACAGTGCGTGTGCTGGTGGTTGTTTTGAAGGGATTTTGAGGTTTAAGGGTGACATTTAGCCATTAATCAAACCTGTATAACTTTTGAATAAATAGTTCCTTTCCTTTTCACCAAACTCTGCCATTCAGAGCCATAATTCCAAGGGCGGCGGGCAAAGGACCCTCAACCGAGGGGGTCCCGGGGAAGGAGGGTGTCATTGTTTCTGTAATAGCATCTGGGCACCACCCCCCCACCCCCCACCTTGGGTCCTTTTGTTCGGTAACAGCATGAGATCTCCTGTAGAGATTCATTTCTTTTAGGTTTGAAGACTTTTTACGATTTTAAAATAAAAGTTACAAATACCTCTTGGACACAAAAGTTTATTCTTTATCAATTTCTATCAGTTAACCCCCTCAGATAAGGATAAGAGAGAGAAAGGCTCTGATCAACAGATAAAAGATTAGTGGCTGGTAGCACTGGAAACCCTTGAAAACAAATCTCACTAGATGATCAAAAAATTCAGCTCCTGAACGCAAACCTTACCCTATTAGACTTTAGCAGTACCATCCTCCTTACCACTTACATCTTGAAATTTCCACCATGTAATAATTTCTTTGAGTTATATAAAAGGCTGATTTCAGCTGTAAGAAGTAAGGGACATCAGAGCTTGGGTACAATTGTAGGAATAATTGAGCCAATAGCACATGGATGAATCTGACACATGGTCTCGACAGCTAATTGCTATAGCTGAAGGTTCAGCATTTACTGAGTCCCTAGTGAAAATAAGCCTCACAGTTGCACAGTCAGCCCAGAATACAAAAAGCCTGGTGCCATGGTGTACCGGCTAAAGATGAGACAGCTTTGCTCTGAGAGTCCGTGGAGGCAGGTAATCATCCATTTCTCAGCGAGCAGGACTAATCTGAAGTCATCACATTCCCGAGGGCGCACAGGTGAAAGTCCATGTGCTCCGAATAACACAGCAAATGTTTGGGCCTCACAAAAGTGATGAGAGACACAAGACTAGTCTCTGCTCTGAGAAATTACTGTTAGCAATATACTAGCTTTCAGGAATCCATGGAGAAATTTTTGTTCAGAACATTTGAAATTCTAACCACAATATTTAAAGAGATGGTTGTTTGAGTATCTTTCTACAAAGGCAAAGAAAAAGATCTCAGATCTCAACAGGGCATTTGGTTTGTTGCCTCTGCACTAGGCCTATGCTGTTAGGCCCAGGACGGGCGCGTGGCCGTAGACCTTCCTCATCTGCTGACATGCCAGGGCCTTCCTTTCCTCTGGCCAGAGCTGTGCTGTCCAACACGATAGCCGCCAGTCGCATGTGGCCACTAACCCACTGAATGTGGCTAGTCTGAACCAAGATGCGCTGTAGTTGAGATGTACATATTTGAGGTGGAAGACAGTTTTAAAAAATGTGAAGTATCATTAAATTTTAAGAATTATGTGTTAAAATGATAATATTTGGGAACTATTGTGTTAAAGTACATTTTAAAGATTAATTTCACTCATTTGTTTTTACTTTTTAAATATGTGAGTACTAAAAATTTTTAAATATTATTTGTGGCTCTCCTCATTTCTGTTGAATAGTAACTGGCCCAGAGTTGCCTTTTATTTTTTCAAATTCTGTTATTTAAAAAAAGTTTTCAATTACAGTTTATAGTCAATATCATTTTGTATTACTTTCAGATGTGCAACATGGTAGGTAAATAGTCCTATACATTGCAAAGTGCTGCCCCTGACAGTTCCAGTGCCCACCTGGCACCATACCCAGTTTTTGCAATATTATTGACTCTATTCCCTATGCTGTGTGCTTTACATCCCCATGACTGTTTTGTAAGTTCCAATCTGTACTTCTCAATCCCTTCCCCCTTTTCACCCAGAGTTCCTTTAAAGTGAGCACTCTCTGAAACCCAGGGGGGATGTGTTCCCGGAGATAGCGCTAGGTAACCGGAGCAATGGTTGTTTGGGAGGGAGGAGCTCTGGCCCTCTACGGTGAGCACAGAGAGCATCTATCTGCTACCTCAGGTGGTGGAGGCGTGGAAATCTGGGTTTGGATGAATGGGTTCTTATGGGTTGAAGTGAATTTCAACAGGAGAAAAGAAAAGATGGGAGTGGCAGCAAGGGGCAATGGGGAGGTGCTAAGGAAAGGAACGCGTGCAGGATGGACCGTGCTTGGGCCTCTTCTGTAAGGCTCAAGAGCAGAGTGGAGACGTCAGGCCTTATATGTACCTGCCTGTCACCTCCTTTCCCTTGGATCTTTCCCTCAATTTTTTTCTTTCCCCAGTTTCCCCCTTCCCTTTAGGAAAAGCTTTCTCTACCAATTTGCACAACGAAGAAAGAAGTGTAGTGCTACTTCAGAAGGCAGATTGGTCAAAAAGAGTGTTTTTATTGGTTTGTTTGTTTCTTAGTTTTAAAAATAATGCCATATAGGTACAGTAGTTTGTCTATTTAATTCTAATGACAAAGGGGCGACGATGTAGCAGGGTGGCATTGTATAGGCATTATAGCCACTAGGTCTACATCTCTGTCTCTGGCCCCTCAGGTGAGAGTGGTAGTAGAGAAAGAGAGGCAGGGTGTCTTGGTCAGTGCAGGCTACCATCACAAAATACGAAGGACTGGGTGGCTTAAACAACAGAAATTTTTTTTTTTAGAGTTGTAGGGGCTGGAAGTCCAAGGTCATGGTTCCAGCCTGATCAAGTTCTGGTGAGAACTCTCTTCTTGGTGTGCAAATAGCCACCTTTTCATTGCGTCCTCGCATAGAAGAGAGAGAGAGAGAGAGAGACCATAGCTCTCTAATGTTTTTTCTTATAGGGGCACTAATCCTATGAAGAGGGACCCATCCTCCTGATCCTATTTAAACTTCATTAACTCCCAGAGGCACCATCTCCTAATACTACTATGTTGGGGGTCAGGGACACAGCACATGAATGAGGGGGTGGGCACAATTCAGTCTGTGGCACAAGAAAAAGACAATTGGAAAAGGAGTAGAGAAAGCACATGAAGCTAAATGAAGGAAAGATGGCATGAGACCTTTGATTCCTACTGTATTTTTTTATGTATTAAATGAAAATGATGATAAGGAGATAAATATACATATCAAAAAAGAAATTTCTCATACAAGTACGTTTTACTATTCAATGAATTCTTTGCACATAAAAAAATATTTTTGTTCTCTTTCTAAACACATTACAAATATCAAAAAATGTTTTAAACTCTTAAACAAAGTGGGGGACTCCAGGAGTCCACATCTTATTTGTATTGGAAGTAGCCCAAGGACAGTTTTCCGGACTCCACAAGTAACCTTCTCATGACCTGCTGCCTCCCAGTCTAGGCTCCCTAAACTGGAAGGGATGTGTGTCCCTAGGGTCCTGACAGTGTTATATGTCCCCCAATCTCAAATACCTATGGTCCTGATAGTATTACATGTCTCTAAATCTCAAACACCTGTGGTCTTTCCTATGCTTTTTCCTTGCAGCTCACATAACTTTGCCAAGACCATGGCTAACCTGAGGTGTGAGGTTTTATCATCTGAACAGGTAATCTTGGGTGTAACTCCACACCCAGAGGCTCAAGGAGAACCAGAGACCTGAGAAGTTCTTATATGTTAGAGAGAGGGAGCCAGTCTGATTAACCACTGCCACAATATGAACTGATTAAAATTGTTACTGTTGCAGCTACATGGCAAAGAGGGGACAGGGGAAGGTGTGTGGTAGTTGGGCAGGTTTAGAAAGATGACAGGAAATGGAGCCTTCTGCTCATAGCTGGGCCAGACTATGCTCTGTTTTCTGTGTCAGCCTTGAAAGACAAAAGACCCAGGAGAAATTGTGACATTTGCCTTTGACCATTTCCGGATTCTCATTCTTCATGCTCTCAATATCTTTGTGCTCTTAGCAACGTGCCATA